CGCGGGCCATTTTGAGGTGAACGCCTTCCCTCGGAGGGCCGTTATGGCAGTGAAACCGCAAAAAAAATGTTTCATCGTCTCATTGCATCATTACTTGTAAACAACAAATGAATGAAATACTGGTTTTGAAATCAGCCAAGACAACTGTAATAGTTGATTCAATTATTGTTCAAATGTGTGTAACAAAATGTCGCCCAGTCTCAATGTTACATATGACAAATGACAATTTGACATTTCGGTACAACTTTAGCAAGTCGACCACGCATGATTTGCTTTCGTGGGCCACATAGAACAATGTGGTGGGCCGCACCAGGCCCCCGGGCCATGAGTTTGACAATGTATGCGTTAAAATATGAGAGAGGAAAGTGAAGGCCAACAGAGGGAACACATACTATATGTTGGCTTAATTACAATAAATGTTAAAAATGAAGACCGAAGTATGCAAAGGGGCCGCTCGAGGTGTACACGTACTGAGCGGCGATGCCGCTTGAAAAGAAACAGACAGGACTCTTTCGAACATTTGAGTTCATTTGATACGCTGCCATAATGTGGTGTGCAATTTGCAAGCGAGTTGATTTTATTTCCCTTCTTGTTGCCGGCGTAAAATCAAGTCAAATTAAATGTGGTAAAGTTGAGGATAACACAGTGGGAAATTATATCACATCGGCCCTTCAAACGGGTTTTAAAATGTGTACACCGCAACAATAATATGAACAAGATCTTCATCTTCATCAGGTGAAACTCATTTGTTTCGAACAAACAAATTAGACTTTGCATTTACTGTGCACGGCTAACAAATAACAACAAAGACAACCATTTGATGCCAAGTAATGGCGAAGAGATTGGAATTGGCGGTAATTAAAAGCGTATCTGCTCCTGGGGGTGTGGGGGTTGGAGGGGGGATACATTCTGAGTCGCTGGGCACAACAATGTGGCATGACAAGTCTGCCAGACTCCATCAAAACTGACAGTCATTTGTGTACTTTGACATCATTTGGAAGTTACCGTCATTTTCTATCCATTTTCGAATCTCGGGCAGTCAGAGGGGTACACCCTGAACTGGTTGCCAGTCAATCGCAGGGCGCACATAGACGAACAACCATCCGCGCTCTCACTCACGCTTCAGGACAATTTCGAGTGTTACATTAACTCGCCGTGCACTTTTTTTTTTTTTTTTTTTTTGAAAGGGACACGTGGGAGTCTACCTGAGCTGAGTGAAGTTATATAATGCAGACATAACCTGTGAAAAATAAACACCAGATGCCGATTTGAGCAACCCAGCCATGTCAAACATCACAAACGCCTTTACCCTTTTCTCTGAAAGCATGAATCACGTGTCGTGTCAGATCAAGCGATTTATACATTTATAAATCTCATAATTGGATGTAGCCAATTATTACCTTATGAGGAAATCACTGGCAAATAAGCAATATGTACGGTTTAAAAACCGATGTACTAGAGCATGTCGGCTTCGCTTTGAATGAAAGCTTCGGCAGAGTTCTTAGGATGTTTGTGTCTTCCATTTTCCTCATGTAGAGCATTTTCTCGGGCCTTCAAGCAGAGTTGCTTGCTTGTAAAATGTTGCTGACAGAAGAGGAACCTTGAGGGTCCGGATGCTTAGTGGACAAGACACACATGCAGAGACACACGCGCGCACATACGCGCGCCTCTGGATTTCTGAGTAAAGGACAAGTAACGATCTGCACTCGGATGCAAGAGCGTATTAGTGACGTGTGGATACTTGTTCAGACTAATGAGAATTTCTTTTTGGAAAGAATGATTTCGTTCCCATTTAGCAAGAAAAAAAAAAGCAGCATATTCGTGTTTGTGTAACTGTGCCTCACCAACGTCACGATCATCCTCCAGTCTGAATACGTGCAAAACTGGCAGGCGAGCATTTCCACGCAGCCAATCAGAATGCAGCAAGTTGCATCAACAGCAATGAGTCCGTGCTCTCAGAGCTGTGGGATGGTTGGGGCGTGGGGGGGCAGAGCAGAGTGAGAGGGGGCATGGTAAACAACAAGGACAGGCACACACTAAGACACACATTAACTATTGTGGACAAGCCTTCGCTTTCCATTAAGTTCATTGTTGCCCTGAGGATGGGGTAAAAATACTCCACTGCCAAGCGAGGGACCAACACAAGGCGTGTACGGCTACAATGAAAGCAAAATCAAATTCATAGCAGAGGCAAATACAGACTGAATGTTCCCGCTGCCTGATTTATTCATGTCATCTCTTTTGCGTATATTTTGAAATGTACATTTCCAATAGAGTGTTTCCCTGAAAATTCCATCGACAGCAGCGTATGTTTATCCACACGAAGGCGGGGGGGAAAAAAATCCAAGCACAAGTCGTGATGTACCCTAACTAGGACATGAGTGGGCGTTTAAACCCTTCAGCATGAAAAGCCAGCGCCAGCATTAACACCCCCCCGCCACCCCCCCAATCCTCTCATGACTTCCGTAATAGACGTCACATTATGTCGGCCCACTTTGTAGTTTCACATTTTCGTCACACATTCATAATTCATCCGTGACCGCGATGTTTTACTCGGCAAGAAATCCTGCTCAGGTGAGATGACTATCTTGAATTTATTGACCACCAACGCCAAAGCTCATAAATAAAGCCAGTTAACCTTACGGAGCACAGATAAACTCATCACCTTGCGGGTTGTATTCATTTTCACATCTATCATTCCTATAGGGGGGGGAAAAAAATCTTCACAATTTCATCAAAATCATCTTCCACAGATTGCCAAGTACAGTATTTAAAACACAGATTTTGATGTCATATTAGTGGTCAAGAGGTGACAGGCTTCTGTCTTTTCAAAATACCTTGACATATCTAGGACGATCGGGTGTTTATAGACAAAGAATCTACAATATAGACGCTATCATCTTATTTTGGGATTTTTTTTTTTCAGCTACAATTGGGGCCTAAGACAAGGTGGAGAGAATTATGAAGCGTTCTAAATTCGTCATGTTCGACCAAAACCTTACGGACTTTTTTTAAGAGTATATACGTGTTTTAAAAAACTGTATTTAGGGCAAATGAGAGGCATTTTCAAGGCTGACTCCCATTCAACTTGAGTTCGAATGTGATTGGTTAACTCCATAAATAGCCACATCCCACTTATAAGAAGGTGTGCACACTTCTGCAACCACAACATTTCAGTGGTTCATTTTTACTTCGCCTCTCAAAAATAATATTTTTTAATCAATTGAATTGGACCGGTTACAAATCACTTTCATGGTGTAAAATGTTTTGATGTTATATTTCTGGGTCTCTTTTTTTTTTAATATCATCAAGTGTTTGAACAGGTGTGTGTCAAGTTTTTCTATCCACTGTGACTCGTGTGGCAAACACAACTTTATACAAGCAATGCATTTCGCTAACGCAATTCATAATAATACACATGGTGTAAAAATGTGTATCGTGTACGACCTAACGGCAACACTTGTGTAAGTCTCTTTTTTGAGTGACAATGTTACAGTAATATTCCTCCTAGTCTGCTTTGCGTCTCAAAGCTAAACCGCAGGAAAGCACAGCGGGCCTCTATTCAGCTACAACTGAATCCTCTCTTTATTTTGCTGCAAACACAGCTCGATCCCCTCCTGGCCACAGGTGTGTTCCCTTGGATTCTGTTGACGAATGTTCACGCTAAATGTGGACAATTTCAGGAGCACTTGTATACCCCTTGCTTATCGTTTCAGATCAATCTGCTATATTTCCATCCGTCCCTTTCCGTTTTGGCGATGTGGTGTGATGCAGTCGTCGGCGCTCGTGGCACACACACAATCACATTGATGTGCACGGTGAGCTCCAAGCCTCCCGTTTCTCCTTGGTCGTTAATAATGTACTGATGGCAATGCTGAGGTTACTGACCCATTGCAGACCCATTCATCAACCAATACAACAAGCGTATGATATTAATAAATAGGCTGTAGACAAACGCCTACCGGTCATGGAAATGGAAACTTTCCTTCCCAGAGGTTGAAAGTGGGAGGACGAATGTGATGGAAAACAGATAAGATGGAATTGTGGTATTAACAGCGGCAATATATTCTTTGTGAAAATCTATAGAGATAAGCATTGGACACGCGTTCTGTCAAGCAACACAAAATCAAAGCCGATCGATGCCATAGGCGTACATAAATCCTGATTAAATGGATATACTCCTCCTCCTACCGTGTGTATAAGTGTCTCTGTTTACACATTAAAACACACAAATAGGTCTACATATTCTAAATATGGTCACCATCAAATCGGCCTTTTTATATCGGGCCATGGGAGGTAGTCGGTGTATTGCTGTTGTGTGGCATTGCCCTCTAGCGGCTAAAAGATACAATTACAAATTCAATTTGGATCTGAAGGTTCTTGAAAATTTGACGTTTTTTTTTCTTTGACACGTGGGGTTATACTGAATCGGCTCTGGTATAGAGAACACCTGAAATAAACCTCTGAAGACAAAGTAACGTGCACAGGTCAATTATTATCTTTAAAAAGAGGACAGACAACCAACAGAGTCACAATATGTCAGGTGTCTAACCAAGAAGAGGTCTTTTGGAGGATTCAAAGTACAGTTCAAAACTGCCGGTTTCACAAACCAGTGGTAGAAACTTGAAAAGGGAATTGTAACAGGCTGCATCAAAACCCGTTTGTCATGGGAATCAACCCGCTCATAACAGCTGCAGGAAAGATATTCAGCAAGTCATCAATTGAGTCCTGCACCCACCAACCTCTAATAAGAGACTTTATGTGTAACCTTCTCGATCAACTTCAATTTAGGTGCAAGGAAGATGGATGCCTCATAGCAACATGGGCTAAAATGAAGTTAAAGCCAATCTCCTTGAGTCACAGTGTGAGTATTATTGACCCCTACGCCAACGAATATACACCCAAATGTCATCGTTCCCCAAAAAGGTTCGGTTGCCAAGCAACGCCGGTGGGGAGGCGACACGTATACTGTCGTAGTAGCCAGTAGGGGGCGATAAGCGATATCTCGTTCCTTGAGCACACGAGCAGGCGGCTCCGACGCTGGGGAAGGGGCGCAGCACGCTATAGAATACAGCAAATATTCAAAGCCGTCCATTTGCCTTGCAGCTTCACATTTCTCGGCGAAGGTTTAACCGACAGTTCGAAAAGATGTCCAGCGTCAATTGGAAGCCTTTTGTTTATGGAGGACTCGCTTCCGTGACGGCGGAATGTGGTGAGTGACGTGTGAGGAACCCTCGTGGAGGCCGAGATGCGGGGCTCTCCGGTTCGGTGATGTTTGGACGGGCTAACAAGAACCGACGACGCGTTCTGTGTTCCAGGCACATTCCCTATCGATCTAGCCAAGACGCGCCTTCAGGTACAGGGTCAAGTGGGCGACAGTAAATACAGAGAGATCCGGTACCGAGGGATGTTGCACGCTATTGCCAGGATAGCACGAGAGGAGGGGGTCCGGGCACTGTATTCGGGGTAAGTATAATTTACTTCTGTTTTGTGTTTATATTGGGTTTTTCCCCCCCTTACACCTTTCAGTAGTGCCCCTTGTTTGATTTGTTTTTGTAAATGTTCTCACTTGCTCCTCATGTTCTCATCCCCACTCACTCCACTCCCCTTTGCGTCTGTGGTTCGTCATGCATCTGTCAAATGTGTTTTGGACACGTGTTCCCATGTACCAGCGAGAGATTCACGTGTGTCCACCCCAGGTAATCTCAATGTGATTTTTACAGAATAGCTCCCGCCATGCTGCGCCAGGCATCCTATGGGACCATTAAAATCGGCACATACCAGAGCTTCAAGAGATTACTGGTAGAAAGGCCGGAGGGTGAGGCACACTTTCTGTCTGTCATTGTACAGGCTTGATTTACAAGCATGCGTACTGTATAGTTAAAGTCTCATTTCATCAAACGCCTCTCACCCGGACATCTGAGAATGTCCTGTAAAAATTCGAAACAACACAATTCTTTAAAAAATCCTAAACATTAGGTCTCAATTTTGTTGTGCTCGTTTTTTTAGGCATACATACACCCAGTTCATGTGGAAGGAACTTGAGTCCTTGCAATTACATGCTGCAGTGGGGAAGTTGCGCAGGTCTTGTGAGCAATTGTCTCTCAGCTGGGAGCAAATGATTTCACCCTGATACAATGACAAGATTCTTATTGGCATGCTTCAATTGCCCAGGGAGCATAAAGATTCAACTCTGTTGAAATTGAAGTCTTGGGAGTCTGATTTGCTCTGCTGTGATGTTTACTCGTAAGCTTGGATCGGCAGTACCAAAAACAACCCCAACAACCCATATAAAGATTTTTAAAAAAAAATCTGTTTCAAAATGAGGCAATTGAACTTGATACCTCTTTTCACACGTTGTTTTCGAATCTGGCTCTGAATTTGGGCAGAGATTTTTTTTACTTCTATTTTTGAGCTTCAATTGGAAACAGATAAATGCTCTAGAAAATTTGAAGGATACAGACATTTTTACAGATATTGCTCTTTAAAAATGGCTGTTCAGAGTACGATAACAAAAACCATCTTAATTACTCTTTATGTGATGACTTTTCATGATACAACTACTGACAGTGGAGACCTAATATTTTGAATGTTTCCATTTAGTAAGTGCTTCTCTATACCAGATTTTATTTGGAAGAAATTCTTTGATGGTCAGGTGGGAAGATCTTTAGAAATGTGATAATATAAGACAGAATAACCCTATTACAGGTTACAGGGCCAAAGGAGACAGCCGTTGAAGCAGGCGAATAAACTCGGAGCAGTCAAAGCCTGCTCAGGCATCAAATCAATCTCCTTTCTCTCGTTACTTCAGATGAGACAATGCTGACTAATGTGCTGTGCGGCATTCTTGCTGGAGTCATCTCTTCCTCCATCGCCAACCCCACTGATGTGCTGAAGGTAGATAAAGGTTGAAATTTGGATTGTTTTGCCATGCTGGGAAGCAATAGTTCATCTGTGAAGGACTTGGGCTCACGGTTCAAGTCCCTCTGTGGACCAATGGTAAAATGGTAACTTGTTGCTCCCAAGCACGGTTTGCGGACCCCTTTCAAACTGCCAGCTCTCCTTTGCATGATGTGTTTGCGCAAAGCAAATATACACTCCAATGAGTTGATTTTTTTTTTTTGATACGCCTCTTGCTTTGGGTGGGATTGCGCAAGCGTGCTCGGCCAAGCGCCCCATGTGGGACATATTCCGGTGCTGCAACGGGTGTCATAGTACCACCCAGCCCTCGCCGGTGGCTTATTAATAGACTGTGTCCTTCAAGGCTTCATTTACTCTTCTGTAAATGATATGGGTGTATGAATATGACTAACCCTAACCCACTCGCTTAAACCACCACGGAATGAATGTCTTTGCCATGGGTTAACAGATAATGTTGATATGCATGGCAACAGCTTTGGAGCACAGTTTTTTTTAATCACTGCACATCAAGCCAAGTGGTCACGAGGCCGACAGGAGGCAAATATGCTTAAAAAAAAAAAAAGCAGCCAAAGAAAGAGAGTGAAGCTCAGGCTAAGGAAAAAAAACAACTCTTGCCCATCCAACTTGTAGCCTTTCTCCCAGGTACAGTTTGTCACACCTGGGCAGCTGGGGTTCCAAATGATGCCATTTGCCTTCACTCAAGTATAACTCAAGCCATTTATTTGTTTTTTTTGCACATTCCTTCTCAGATCCGCATGCAAGCCCAAGGAAGGGTGATCCAAGGAAGTATGATGGGAAACTTCATCAACATCTATCAGCAGGAAGGGACCAGGGGACTTTGGAAGGTACAGCATACTTGAAAATGCTTTCTTTGGAACGATTCCCCACTTTTAGCTTGTTTGGCTTCCAACAATCTCACAAGTTGCATCAAATAGTTTTAGGAATTATTTTGGGGGGGGGGATAGCTATAAATATTCCGGGCGTTGTGGTCGTCATCTCCTGGACACTTGGGATATTCAGCGTCGCTTCTTTTTGTCAGGGTGTCTCTCTCACTGCTCAGCGGGCAGCCATTGTGGTCGGAGTGGAGCTGCCTGTCTACGACATCACCAAGAAGCATCTGATCCGGTCTGGTCACATGGCCGACAACGTGTACACGCATTTCTTGTGAGTGAGAGCTGGGGGAAGAAAAAAATCAGTTGGCCTCTGCCTTACCCTTGATGTTTAGCACAAACAGGAAATTGCACAGCTGCACACTTGAGTTCTTTTAAAGGTGCAACAAGATAAAGAGCAGACGTGTGTTTCCAGGCCGTTACGCCGAGCTCAAGTGCTGTAAGCGAACCCTCTGGTTCTTTTTTGATGGTCTCACTCAACAGAGCAGCAATTCCACCACATGCACCCTTCATTGCTCAACTCGTTCTAGTTAGGCCACAAAACGCTGATTGGTCATTGGGCTACTTGAGTAGAGAAAATTGCCAGGGGGCACATTTAAAATGTACAGAACAGAATCATCGAACTCCGAGCAAGACGGCACTTTGACATCTTGAGCTTTGCGGCGTGCAGGTCCAGTTTCGTATGTGGCCTGGCTGGGGCGTTGGCCTCCAACCCGGTGGACGTAGTCCGGACGCGGATGATGAATCAGAAAGGAAGAGCTTTGTACCGGGGAACACTCGACTGTATACTGCAGGTCAGTCGATCTGCACTCAACAAAATTATCAACGCAGCAATTGTGTTTTTGCCATTTACATCCAGGACTTTGTTCAGAAATGGTGTAGCATATGAAGATGCTTGATTATCGCGCAGGTTTGCCATCGGCTGGCTCCAATCAATTGCAGCACACAAAGAGAAAAGCATTCAACACCTGTGGGGAATTTGGGGTCTTCAATAAAACCTGACATGCATGTTTTTGTAACGTGGGAGGAATCTGGAGTACCTCGAGGGGGTGCGGGGGGGAGGCAAGCGCGAGGATAACTTTACTCGGGAGCTGAGATTCAAACCCAGAACCTCTCACCTGTGGGCCAGGCATGCACACCACATATTCCACCGCCATGCCCCGCTCGAAAAGCGAGACTTGACGGGTAGGCGGACCGGCTACATGTGACAAAAGAATGCAATTGCCTGAAATGGCGCAAGTGCACATTTTAAAGTTAAATCGATACTGGTGATGAAAGGTATAGTCTGTCTCTTTTTTTACTCCACACAATTGCCGATTGAGGATAAATATCTCGCAGTGATGTTAAATATTTAGCTCAAACCTTTGTGACACCAATTTGCCTGCTAAAAGCACCCAGAGGACTGTTGAATAATGATGAAGACGTAAAACGCCCAAGTGTGTGTTCAACCTGTTTTTCCAGACGTGGCGCTCGGAGGGTTTCATGGCGCTCTACAAGGGCTTCTTCCCCAACTGGCTGCGTCTGGGCCCGTGGAACATCATCGTATCCTTTCAACATCTCATTAGTGCTGCACTCGCACACTGTGTGTCTTTCGTGATGCAATGTCTTTTGGAGCCGGAGAAATGGTCTGGGGAAAAAAAGCTTTTATGTGCAGTAGAACCTCGAAGTTTTACCAAAGTCGTTTATTTCTCTTTTCTCCCCAGACCCCACAGAGCATTTTCAACAGGGGAAAATGGCACTCTCAAAAATTGAACTTCAACAATCGAGTATTGACATAGTTACATAGAATGTCAAGAACAATTTGGCCATCATGATTTTATGTTGCACCTCATTCCATTGTTCTGCCCTTTATGATGTGCACCCCTTGGCCACCGGGAGGCAGTCTAGTCTAAGCATAACAAAAACGACTCTACATCTTGTGCTCCCAACTTGTCTTGCAGTACAAATAGATGGGACTCAAACTGGCTCAACATGCTAATTCCCAGCCACGCGGTCGCATTTAATTCTAAGTCGGTTACTTAAACCGTGTTGGACTATGACCTCAGTGGCTGATCCAAGGAGGTTTACATTTATGGTTGGCAAGGAGAAGTAAAAAGTTGAGCTCTTTAAAATCCTTTGTGCAAAGTTTTATTATCCAAGACCGCAAAGTGTTAGGTTTAAAAGTCACAGAATAAAACAGACGTATCCTCTCCTCGTTGAGCTCCAACCAGGCCTAAAACTTGAATGAGATGAGAGAAGCAATGACAAAAAGGGAGGCTTTTTGTGATGTAGAAAAAGACCCGCCTCTTTCCTTGACTCCACGTCCAGTTCTTCCTCACGTACGAGCAGCTCAAGAAGATCAATATCTGAGCGGCGGAACCGGAGTGATGATGAGCACTACTTGAGAGACGAGAGGGTCTCGCCAGTCGGGATTGGGACGGATCCCTGATAGGACCGCTGGTGGGGTGAACAGGGATGGATGGAGACCCTTGTTTGCGGTGAGAAAGCGTTACTTGTGTGGGTGTGCGTTCGTGTGGGCTCTGGGTTTCAGACCTGCTGCCGTGGAGACGGCTGGACCTTTTGCACGTACTTGAATCCGATATTTTAGCTCATCCAAATGCTTCGTCAAGCCAAACGTTTCTTTTGACTCGGCTGAGAGATTCATGGACACCCCCCTCCTCCCCTCGCCCCCAAAGATGCCACGGTGGCCTCTGTGTTCATTCGTATTTGTACGAGGCTTGTTTTACGGGCCTCTCCAATTCAAAGTGGTCTCTAAATTGAGTGCCTTCGATTTTGCCAATAGGGAGAATGTTGCACAAGTTAGAAAGCAGCTGACAATCACTGCAATCATTCCTTTCTTCAATAGAGAGTATGTTGCAGTTTGTCAACAGACTTCACAATAGGTCTTACCTCCTTTTTTTTTTTTTTTAAATAATTCTGAAACGAGTCAAAGCCAAGAAGACGTTGGTATGTATTGTAAAAAGTTATTTAAAAGCAACCTGAAGCTGTAAAGGTCATTTCTGTGAACACAAATGTGAACGAGCTGACGATGAGGCAGCTACGAGGACCTTGTATATTTTCATTTTATATTCAGGCTTGGATTTTGTCATTGGTTTCCAGCTTATTTGCACTACTACTGCTGCACGTGATGCCTGTTATTGTCAAGTCAAACTTTATGCACGATGCTTCCATTTGAGTGGGTGATTTGTATTTTTCTGGCTTTTTTGTCCGGGTCGCCAAATTACAGGCAGATGTACCTTTTTAATATTGCTCTATGTGTGAAATAAAATGAGGGGCGTGAGGGAAGGGGAAAAGGACCAAGCTGTTGTTTTTCTCTTCTTTCACCACAGCGCGGCGCTGCGCAGCTACATTCAGCTTCTGACCCAGATGACTGCGGTCGCTGTGGAACCTTGTTCAACCCCTCCAGTCCTCAGACGTAGCACAGTTGTTGACGAGAGATTGCCCGGCTTCGATCAAACACGCGGCATACCACAAAACATCAGCCTATGAATTATTCAGGGCAGTCTAACATGTAATTGTTCTTGTTTCGCGGGGTAAATTCCCAGTTTTCCCCCCATCAGGGCTGTTTAGATGCTGACAGCTCTAGGGAGCGCAGTGGGAAACGTTGGAGGCAATGCTGCGTTGTTTTTTTGGGGTTTTTTTTTTCGCCTTGCATCTTTATTTTTGGAAAGTCACTATGGGACTTATTGTGAAAACTACAAGTCAGCCACCATAAGTTACACTTTTGTATTGCTTCTGGATTCCTGAGTTTACCTGACTTATGAGCTGGGATTTTCCCACAGTCCGAGCCGTCCACACATCCAGCTCACATCTTTATTCAATCAGGGAACACAATCGGCACATGCCAGAAAGGCTGGTAGACGACAGGGGAACACAAGCACGGCCTAGTGGACAGGATTTGGCCGCCCCTCGACACTTTGGCACCATGGCCTGGCATTAAGGCGCAGACGCGGTCTTCGACAAGCTGGACAAGTTTGGCCATGAAGGATTCCGGCCGTCACAGACATGCTGCATTATGGGTATTTTATTTGTTGCCTGGCCTGAGGGTGCAGGGGCTTGGCGCTATTGTGTTCCAAGGATCAGAGTGAGCTTTTGTCAGAGGCGTAAGGCCTCGCTCTGCTCCCGCAACCCCTTTACTCCCTTTTCATGAAATGACAGCACAGAGGAATACGTGCTCAAACAAATGGGAATGGAGACAGGTCGGGTTCCGTTGCTCCGATTGGAGCGACTGCGGTGTTTCTTGGTGGCACAACGCTGAAAAATACCTTGATCTCAGCACTGCTCATCATTGCAGCACTTTTTCATTCCATACAGACTGATCCGCTGCAGTTAAAGTGATTTTATCTGGGCTCCATATGGGAGTTTTCGACCGTATTGTAAAGGTCTTATTTTTACATTGGTCATCAGTTTTTGTTGATTTAAAAAAAAAAACGAAAAAACAATTCTGAATAAACAACTGGCCCACCAACTCGTGGTCGACCTACATTTACCCAGCGCTGGAAGAGGAGGAGGTGGACCCCGGGGAGAGAGGATCACAAGGATGAGCCGTTGGTAATGCTGCTCCCATTGTTCCGTCAAGACAGAAATGGGCCAACACAGTGAATGTTAAAATGAGATAATGTGCGAGGAGATTTTTGTACTTTCAGTGATGCAAGTTGCTTTCTTTGGGGGGTTAAAATGCAGAAATGGTGTCATATCTGACTCCATATTGGTGAAACCCACATTAAGATTTGTAAAAGTGTGCGTTGATACGTTGGGAATGCCGCCATGTTGTCCTTGGAGTGCTTGAAAAGCGACCGTATTAGAACCGACTTTGAAATTCGCGCAGAAACTTGATGGATTGAACCGTCATGAGAATGCCTTCATTCCAAAAGTATTTTTGCTTTGTGCGTGTGTGTGTGATGCCTCCCGAGAAAGGGACCGGTGGTGATGACAAAGTCGTGTGATGTAAATCATAACGCGGGAAACGGAGCTGATTGTCAGTATTGTTTGCGCAGCGGTGTCAAATTCATTTTGGTCGCGAGCCACATTGAAGTTATGCATTCACTTTGAGGGCTGTTATGACTGTGAAACGATGCCCAAGATGCCTTCCGAGAAAGGGACCGGTGGTGATGACAAAGTCGTGTGATGTAAATCATAACACGAGAAACAACTGATTGTCAGTATTGTTTGCGCAGGGGTGTCAAATTCATTTTGGTCGCGAGCCACATTGAAGTTATGCATTCACTTCGAGGGCTGTTATGACGTGAAACGAGATCCCATGTCTATTATCGCCTCATCATCTTATTACATACGCATCCGGGTCTCGAGGTCAGAGGTCAAGGAAAATACCTTGTTTAGCTGTTCAGTTTATTTAAAAAAAAAAAAGGGGGCCAGGCACCTGCGTTTGCGCAAACCCTTGTGCGGCGTCCGCCGCCACAGCAGGCACGCGGGGGACGGCTGGAGCTGGCTGGAAGGCATGAGAAACACCGGCGCTCACTGGAAGGGCCACCGCAGGGCTCGAACACGGAGGCCCCCCGACGGCGGGTCACAGCTGCCTATGGGTCAGTGCGGTAGTGAGGTGAGCAGCTCAAGGAGTCACCCCAGTGGACAAAATCGCACGTCGCTCCATGCGGGGGCGAAATGGAGTGTGTGTATTTTTTGGTTTCCCGGCTCAGGTCTCTGGAAGAGGATTAGGGCCAATGAAGAAAAATTAAAAAACAAGGTTGGCAAGATTCTCATTTTTATCTCAGAATTCAGACTTAATTCTCAGAATGCTGACTTTAAAGTCATTAAATGCCAATTAGAGGACACACTTTGGTCGAAAACGCCACAATGGTCACATTATTTTCAATGTTTTTCATCTTTTTCTTTTTTTGCCCAGGTCTGTTTCAAGAGTTTTTTTGTTTTTGTTTTTTTAAATCATTCTGTTGAACCACAATTCAAAAACGATGTCTGATTTCCATTTAAAGTCATTAAATGCCAATTAGAGGACACACTTCGGTCGAAAATGCCACAATGGTCAAATTATTTTCAATGTTTTTCATCTTTTTCTGTTCAGGTCTGTTTCAAGAGATTTTTTTGTTTGTTTTTGTTTTTTAAATCATTCTGTTGAACCACAATTCAAAAGTGATGTCTGATTTCCATTGGTTCATTTTCATACTTTTTTTTTTTTTAGTGAAATGATTCCTGTGACCACTGTGGGTTTTTCTTTCACTAACAGAGGGGTACCAACAATTTTGTCCACGTGTTTCAACCAGCAAGTAGGAAGACACACAATCGAGTACAATCTAACTCTTCTTCCTCAGCCAAACAAGAGTCACATGTCTTCTGGAAGCATGACTTTAAATGTCATGGCAATCTGCTGAAGGAACAAATCTTGCCTTGTAGCAGCAGAGGTGAGAGGCTGTTTTTTAAAATTTTCTTTAATCACCATATTTTATTCCCAACCAGTCCCATCTGACACAAACTGGGAAAAAAAAATCTTTAAAATGGGTGCTGAAATGAATCCAACGATTGTTCAAGCCCATGTCGATGAATTACTTATGTCACATTTTTCTTTTTGTGTACAGTACACAGCAAAAAAGAAGTCATGTGCAACTGAAGACATCGCCTGTGGTGCAACAATAATAATGGTGAGTAGTAAGACAGTTGCATATGTGCTCTCTTGTCTTGTAAATAAATAAATATTGGGGGGGGGATGTCTTTAAGACATCAGAGAGTCAAGCGACAAAGAGCCTCCTCTTCATCCTGCTCTTAAAAGGCCATTCATTCACACACAGATGCATCCAAACTCAAGAGAGTGATGGACTTGTTTACTCTTCAAAAGCGAGCAAAATACCCGAATCACACAATTGTTCCCCAAGAGCCGAGCTGTTTGTCGCCTCCGTTAAAACACATGCACCAGCACATGCTGACATGCACGGAATATTTAAATGGTCATATTTGAATTGCTGGTATTTTGAAAAATGAACCGATGTGGCGAAAAAAACACATGCTCCCCTCGTTAGCACAAGATGGTTTTAATTTACACAGATATGAACGCATGTAGATTTGCACCCATGAAGGACCGAAGATGAAGGGCCGTCAATGAGAAGCGTACAAGCAAAGCCGATCAAAAGTTTCAAGGCCATTTGTGATTGTCATGATTCGGTTTGGGACCAACAGGTGGCACTGTAGGGCTCTCCCTGCAGCTGCACACCTGTTGGTCATTAGGTAATTAGTGGCTTTAAAAGGACTCCCAGCCCGAGCAATCATTGTCGGGTCATTGTTGCTTTGTGCTACTGTCATGTTTGTTTGTTGCCG